GGAGGGATGACAGAATGTATAGCTGCCTTTTCCAGGACTGCCTTGCTGTGTCCCTGATGGTCCTACCTGGACTATAAGATACTTCCCCTTTCTTGCTCCTGTATCTTTGAAGAACAGAGGTTTCTAATGGGACTATTTCCACCTATTCCTTAGTTTACTGTACAGACAATGAATATAGTTGCATTGTTGGTCATGCAGAATTGCCAAATAGTAAGACAACTCCAGTGGGGACTGCAACACTTGTAGCTCTGTCAATGAATAAGTCCCTGCCCAAGAGACGCTTCCCATGAATTAGCAAATGACAGATGGCTTGGATCTGGAAGCAGCGAGAACATGCGTGTCTGTCATGTGAGCTCTGTGGGCTCTACCTGGATGCTGTGCACCTCAAGACGTGAAAGCAGTCAGCACGGGAGGGTGTGGCATGCTGACCGGGACTGATGCTAACTCTCAGCCTGTGTGATGAGTAGTCTTGATAAATAGGTAGGTGTGACTGAAGTTCGAAAACTCACCTCTCCCAAAGGTAGAGGGAAGACAAATTTCTTGGCTGACTGGGTTGAACAGGGGTGTACTGTAAATTGCTCAATTATATTGATTTTATCACCAAAGCTCCAGCTAAATGTAGTATAGCAAAGAATGAGAGCTGGAAAGTATAGGAGCAGCATCTGTGGTGGTGGACCTATGGCACGCGCTCCACTGCATGCTATTCGTAGCATGAAAGCTCTAAAAGGTTCACCATCACTGGCATATTATAAAATTTATTTTTTTAATGAATAGGATTTGTTCTAATGGTGTTTGTGGACAGGATGTCATGTCTGCATCGTGTACAATGAATAACCACTAAGACAACAATATGCAATGTACTTATTATTGAAACTGTCCTACTGATTGGTTTTGAAACTGTCTCATTGTTATTTGTTTCTCAAAAAGTTATTTAAAAAATAAAAAAAAATATTCTTTAGTGAGACTTTGCACACACACACACCTTAAAAAAGTTTATTTTTAAAAAATTTTATTATATTTTTTTTGTATGTCGTATAAGGTCTACAGGGTCTCACTACATAGATTGGACTCATAGTGATTCTCCTGTTTTCAGCCTCCCAAGCACTGGGATTACAGGAACGTGTCACCACACCTAGTCTCAATCTCCATCTCAGCATGCCTTAGGAATGGGGCGAGCACAGCACATTGGGGTTAGAACCCTGGTCCCTGCACCAGCCTAATCAGGCATTTTAATCCACTGAGCTATCTGGCTGTCCCTGAGGCATATTATATATAATGGTATGTTTTATACAATGCATAAAATACAGAAAAAAGATCAAAAATAAATAAACAAAAATAGGCCAATACTATAACATGGCTTTCATGTTTTAGTGTTTCTAACTCTTCCTCACTTTAATATCTATGCTGTCTGACATGTTTTGAAATGAGTCTTATGTTTCTGTGTATATTTAGAAAAACAGCACCATGATGTATTAAACTTAGAGATGTAAATGTCACAACTTTTAAAATTTATGTAATACATAATAACTTCCAAAGATAAAAATGAATTGGTGTTTGTGGAATTGTATAAAAGTCCTTTATTAGTAAGTTCACAGGTTCCTTCGGTATTCAGGTGGAAAGCCCCTGTCCTAGTCCGTAGCTATTTCTTACTGAAACCTGAAGACTCACAGGTCTTGTAATACTACAGGGAAGGTTTTTGTCTTCATAGTGCTTTATTCACTTGGTGGAAAAGACTGGAATTGTTAAGGAGAACTCGGGGACCAACATCAATTTCAAGTTTTAGGTGGATCCTGCTTACCACTCTGTCCCTAACACTGAGCCCTGTGTCTCACATATTCATAAATTACATGTGTTAAGATATGAATGGATGACTACAGATGGGAGGATCATGTTAGGGTGTGATGGTGACATCCCAAGATCACATACCTCACCAGGGGAAGCAGCAGAGCCCAATTCTCCTCACTACTGATTCTGGGTTATTTCCACCATGATGGTGTATAAGAGAGGTGCTCTTATACAATGAAGGGGAGAAGAAAGAGTTCCTCTTTCCAGAAGCTCGGTGAGGGTGAGTAAGGCTGGCTGTCCCTTGACAATAAGCAGGATTCATGAGGCTCGCTGTTCATAATCACATGCACCTGCACAGAGCCCACTTGACTGCACTGAAGCATTTGACTTTAAAAGAGAATTCAGCAGGATGCCCTTTTCTGTTCAGATTCATAGTATCTGCCTTGGCTACGCCCTAGCCTCTGCTCAGCAACACTTATTTTTTCTGGTACTGGGAATCATACTCAGGACCTTGTGCTGGCCAAGCAGGCACTTTGCCACTGAGCTGCCGCCCAGCTCCTCGTCAACACTGCTTTTCCATCTCCCTCCCACTCAAACTTCAGCCATTCCTCTAGTCATTCAGTGCTCTTTGGCTACCACCTTCCACTCCTCTCCCCTCCGCCCTCATTCTTTTTTATTTCATCGACTCTATCTATAGCTCTTAATTTATTTAGTCCACTGCCTTACTCAGTGTTATGGAAACATCCAGGATGGTTTTAGCTTTGAGCCTATCAATACCATACTCTCTAACCACAATTTCCAGTTCTTCTATTCAACTCTTTCTCACACTCCCTGTATTCCTATCTTTCTTCTTATTGAGATGTCCACCCAGCTCCTTGATTTCTCCAATTGTATCCCTTTCAAGTTATATCCAACTTCCCTGACCACTAATGAAGTCCTGCTGTTAGCTCCACTCATCTACATCTCTTGCATTGCTTGTGACAACATCTACTGACCCTCAGCCAGGGGCCAGTCTTACCATTCTGACCTACTGCTGTATGTAGGTCCAGTGGAACATGCATGTCTACTTTTCTATCTCTGGCCCTGGTCAGACCCGTGTCCCCATTTCTCTCAGTGGCTCCTTTGGCTTCCTGCGGCTCCTCCCTGTCACCTCTCCTGCATCCCCATAAATTTCTAGAGGAAGGATGCTTTCATTCAGGAAATCCTGATGCTCTATTTTCATCTTTCCACAATTGCACTATATTAGTTCTCACCCCTGTATCCTCAATATCTCCATTTTAACCAGTGCCTTCAAGTTGTCTTCAACTTGTGAACGTTGTAAAGTCTCTTTTATCTTAACTAAGTCTACTTGCTCTTTCTTCTTCTCATTCCTATATCATTGGCCAAACTTTTGCTGATGTACCAACTTTCTCACTAATTTCAGTTAGCTGTTTTGCGCTTCTCCTTCTGTTGACGACCTCCATGTAGCTACATTACATGGACGCTTCTTGCTCCTGACTCTCACCTCAGTGTGTTGGCCCTAATGCCCATTCTCTGCTGTTTAATACTTATGGATCCTTTAACTCTGGTGCCCCAGAATTTCCCTCCTGTTTACTAGCTCCTCTTCCCTGTGCACCACACAAACACTGCTATTCCTCAGGCCTCTGCTCTGCTCTGCCTACTTCTTAGTCTATCACGTGTTCTGAATCTCTTCTTCAAATTAAGGCAAACTTCAGACCCAGAGGTCTCAGAGGGTGGCCTGGTGAATTTCATTTACCAGAATTACATGGGTTCTCTTTTTCTAAATACAGATTCTTAAAAGCAGCAATTTAAAGCATGCATATATATATATATATACACACACACACACACACACACACACACACACACACACAGAGTTTGTAGTGTTACTCTCCAGCTTAACATTCTTTATGATTTAAGAAATAACCAGATGTACTTGTTTATCCATAATAAGCTGCAGTTCCCATATCTAAAGTCAAACACAAATCATGTCCTGTCTGTCAAAGAAGCTCTTCTTATAGTCTTGATTTTTGGTTAATGAGCTACTTATCCTGTCTCCTGTCTCTCTGGTTCCCAAGACTAGGGGGTCATTCTTGCCTTTATTATGCAAATTTTTGACATCACACTAAAGTATTAAGCAGGCTCATAGCATAAGTAGCTATTCCATAGTTGCTACATGATTAGTTGATTCACTCCAATTCAGGATTTCACTTCAATAATTTAAAACTTTTGACAGAAAGACACAAGTATTTGAAGATCAAATTATATTCAAATTTAAGAAACAGCGTATAAAGCCAACCTTGACACCAACAACCAAATGTAATCTCAACAACAGGGAAACCCAGCCTAGTATCATAGGAGATGTTTTGAAAATCCCAACTGTCTTGGATTGTCTTTGGGGGAGATTTATGCATTCTTTACAACTTCAAGACTCAATCTTGAAGCTCAATAATCATGGAAGGAGAGGGTGGAATAGAAGAAGCAATTGAGGGGCCAGGGAGATGGCTCAGTGGAATAAGCACTTCCCTGGCAAGCGCAAGGGCCTGTGTTCAACCCCTGGGTCTGCCAAAAAAAAGAAGCAATTGATCCCCGGTGACTGTCAGAGTAGTGTGGGAAACTCAGGTTATGATGCAGAGGATGTGAAATGACTACTCTGAAATATTGATGAACAGAGAGAGTAAGTTTTGAGGAGCACTTTGGGCCAAAGTCTAGAATAAGGTCAGCA